CAAACATTTTCTATATTCAGATACAGGTACTACTGTTTCCAAAGTAACATCCATCCATTTTCTTCCCCTGTCTGGGTCTGGGTGGTCAGGAGGTGAGTCCACAGGAGCCTTGATCTTTCAGCAGGTACTTCAGGCAAAGTGGGGTTAAGTGTCTTGCCCAAGGACACAACGACAACAGTCATCAGTGGGAGTTATAAAGTAGATCTTGTGGTGGGCTCGAACCCACAACCTTCGGGCTCAAAGGCCAATGCTCTACCAACTGAGCCACTGTCGCCCCTAACGGTATACTTTAAAAAATAAATGTCAGGTCTGGAAGGGAACACATGTCAGTGTTTACCCAACACTGTCCTCTTCTCACTCTGTACTCACCAGTGACCGAGGAGTTTTAGGAATAATATAAAAAGTGGAAAAGGGACGAATATAACTTATGACTTTTACGTCACACACATTTATGCTTTTGATGTTTTACAAGTATTATACGCCCTGTAGTGATTCAGATTTGGTCTTGTTTATCTAATACCAGTAAAATAAAACATATTGAGTTACACATCAGAGTAGTGTTTTCTGAAAACTTGGAAACCTTTCATAATAATTTTCTTTTTAATATTATTGTGTAAAAATGCACCTTTTGAACAATATAATGAACAACATTAAAAGTCTAAGTATTATATTTGCATGTTTTCATTATTATTAGTTAGAAATGACAAACCGCACAAACGTTGACCATTTAAAAGGTACATTTTGATTATTTGTTTTAACATAGTGATGAAAATCCATGTTATTTCTTATATTTTTGAAAAGTTACTGTATTCTGGATGTAGATACTCAAAAAAGTATTACTAATTCATAATAAATTGAACTGAATAAAATAATGTCAACCCATGTGTTTAGATACTCAGTGCTGCTTGTGTCTCATGTAAATAAAAGTATGTGCAGTACAAAGACAACTTTCAACTACTTTCAAAAAATTTTTATCATTTGCATTTATTTGAATCAATGAAACGCCACAAAAACAGCCACTTCAGTCTTTACAACCACAACAGCACTGATGGACTTTATGAATCTTCCACGGAGCATTTCTCCCAGCATGCATCAGTTTGGCTGCGTTTTGGGCCAAACACGCCGTCTTTCCACATGCCACGGGTGAGTATTTGTCAGAGGCCTTTGAAGTCCATAAATAGTTCCATTTGCAGTGGTCCGTCGCAGCCGAAGAAGAACCAGAGCATATTGTTTGCGAGGACACCGTGACTTCAGCGTCTGGAAAGACAAAAGAAGAACGTTGAGAGAGTGAAAGTTCATAAACTCCCGTGTCATGTAACAATCTGATTTTTTTTTTGTGTAAATCTGGGACAGAGGAGAGGTCAGGCCTGGGACATCTGACACACAACATTTTCACATTTTCCAGCGTTAACTTTTTTGGAGAGTAAAACACGGATAATTGCAAACAGCCAACCAAAGTACAAAGGCCTGGAGTTATTTGCCAATTTTTGAATTAGTCTAATTAGGCTTCCGTACTTTGAGGATACAGTCGCGGGTAATCAGCCTGATGTCAGCACTGGACTTTTAAGCTAATAATCATGATGGTTCAGTGATCAAACATATCTGACCCGTTACATGTACTCAGAAAACTTCAGATACCATCAAGTGAACATGTTGTCTCAAAATATATCATTTCCATTAGACTGGAGTTATGTAAAGTGGTTGCAAGAGCGGTCGAACCTTGTTAATTTCCAAATGTGCTATAACAAGTAGGATGGATTGGATATTTTGTTCTTACAGAATATTATACGACCAATGTATGTATAGGCCCATGAAGCAAACAAGCCAGACCACAATTCAAGTGACAAATCAAATATATAACGCAATTTTCATTTTGAGATTTTCTCCATATGCCCTTTAATGCTTTCCTCAACCATTAAAGGGCTGATAAGTATTTGGTGAATACTTATAATACTTTAAGTCACTGCACTTGAAATATATTTGGAACTGAAATCTACCTCATCAATCACTTGGTTTTAAGCACTTTTACCTAAGCGTTTGATAAAGGCCTGTAAAAAACACACTATGGATTTAAAGAAAAAAACTATTATTACAAATGACAACTTATTTCGCCGCTATATAAGTAAAGATAACTTACTTACTTATTTGTGTTATTAGTGCTCCTAAGTCTTATAAAATGAGATTACAAAAACCATTGCTTTCTTCATGTATTGACCATAAAAGGGATATTGTGTGTTTTTTCTCATTATCAAAACAAGTACATTTTCTCCCTGTGCAATCAAATGGAAATTACATCACGCAAAACATAGTTGAAATGATCATTTAGTTTAAAAAAGTCACACCCTTTACATCTCAATACATGGTTCTAAAATTGGCTTTGTGAAACATCCTAGCTTCTCGCTCTCCTTTATTTGGAGTCGACCAGAGAGTCTGTAAATGTCATGTGTGCGGCGCTCGTCAGTGGTTGGCCTCTCCGTACAGATGTTTACTGAAGCTTTCCTGCCGGCTGGAAACACGCTGCAGCTCCTCGTACAGTAATGATAGGTTGTACTGTTTCCTGCTCAATTTCAGTGAAGGGAAAGTGGTCGCTATGGATGTGAACCAGGCCCGGTGCCAGCTGCCACCGATCTGGACCTCAGGAGCCGGCACGGAACCTGGCAGGTGCTCCACACTTTTCCTAGACTTTGTGTTTGAGAATGGGTCAATATAAATCCATTAATGCAACAAAATAAACATTGTACTGGAGAGTCATGGCGGTGCCTTGATGGTGGAAGACAATATGGCAGGTAACTATGGTATTATAAATGTGAAAATAAGTTGGGACAGTAAATCGAAAACACTTATTAATACTATCATATGTTTTTGGAAGCTACCACTATACAAAAATGAATGGGGAGGCTGCTTTTCAGATTCATGCTGCTAAAACCTGGAACAATCTTCCTGAAGATGTGAGACAGGCCTCTTTTCTGACAATGTTTAAATACAGGTTAAAACAAGTTCTGTGTAGCTGTGCATATAACTGAGGGATTTTATATTTTTAAATGTCTATTTAATGTATGATTTTAAGGCCTTGTTTTTTTCAGCACTTTGAGATGCCTTGTGTATGAATTGTGCTATACAAATTATCTTGCCTTGCCATGAACATTAAAAGTGCAAAATACTGCTACAAGAATACATTTCTTGGTTGCAGGTGGATTCAAAATCTTTACTGTAATTCAGAAATACTTTAATCATAACATCCATAGTAGGGAAATGTTATAAATTACCTGTTAAAAAATGCCCAGTAGCCATAAAAGAGCATTTTTTTCTCGTCTACACAAAATTAATGTCATTTTTAGACAGAAATATGGAGTTTTATTTGTATGAATCTAATATTTTCACATATTAGTCCATCTCTGCTCAAAAACAAAACTGTCCTGTAAATCCTGAGTGAATATATGCAAATGCAGCGACTGTGAGTGCAGGAAATGTAAGTCTTTTAGGTATGTGCCGCAAGTTCACCGGGGTCAGAGGCCTCCAGGTGCACACTGCCGGGGCCCCTCTCAGTTTTGGGCTGTAACGAGGCAAAATTATGGTTATCACTGCACAATAACCACCGCCAAACATAAACTTGGGTGTAGAATTCCTGGGTTTCAGGAAATGACCAGACATGTCATGTGAATGTGAACAGAACTCTGGTTTTCCAAAGGGCTCCATAACAATACTTGATTTTACACTTGACTGAAGCGTTGGCTTGTGAAGCTTCATTCCTCCCGTTCAAGAATGCAATAAACGAATGATATTTCCACAAGTTGTGCAACGGACCAACTTCACTGCAGCTCAGGAAGTTTGTACACAACATTAAATCAAATGCGATCAGTGAGCATCATTTCTTGGATATAAGAAAGGCGTGTATAAAGTCAGATATATTGTATAAAATGACAGATTTATTTAGGCAACAAAAGGTGTGGGCCCTGTTTATTGGCTGCTGTTAGGAGGATGTCTTCTAACTGAGGAGTAGAGGTACTTTTTTTTCAATTACTCAGACATGGACATGCTAATTCTGACTGAGGTTTTGATGATTTTTGTGAAAATTCTTATTATCTGCTGCATTGTCACTCAAAACCAACCATCTGTGAATGTGAAACCTCATAACTGCTGCTATCTACAGTTAATACTTCACAAATGTACTTGTCTTTGACCCAAGTGCCATTAAAGCTCCAGAGTTTATAATTATTTCATTATTTTACTATCAGTTGTCTGAAATAATAGCTCTTTGATTTGTGCATATTTTTGACGCATGAACTTTGTGAGTCCGATTGCACATCTCCGGCCCACACCAATATTCTCATGCTCTTCCCTGTGTGTGTATAAATCGCCTCTCACCTCCTCCATCACTCCCAGTGGTTTATGGGAGCCCAGCAGGGAGCCGCATCAGCCTCCTCTTTGATGGTGACACCGGTGATTCATGGATTTTCGTAAACCGTTTGTTTTCATTATGCCTCTACGTCAGTGTGCCGGAGTACAGAGCTGTATCGGCGTTTCGTGCAAGGCAAGCGTATTCGGGCCAGAACGAGAGGAAAGAATTCAGCAGAGGAGAATATTTTGGCACTGCAAGAAACAAAGGGGCTTGGTTCGAGATTGAAAAAAAACTTTAGAGAAAATCTGAAGTTTGCTGCCCATGGATGCTTTTTTCCACAATCTTTGGAGTTCAGAGGTGGTCAGGGATCCATAAAGTGTCTTGGAAAAAAAGGGTTGGAAATGTTGAGGATTTGCCAGATTGGCTTGGTTATTCAACTAAAGAGTTTTATGCTGCAGGCAACGTTAGTATGCAGACATTTACCTTCATACTAAATAACCATAAAGTTCATAACAAATGTCTCAAGATGGGTTTCATTGTCCTCTCATCATACTTTTTACAGATGCATCCTTTAGCGTTAATAGTTACAACCACTGACAGGTCAAATGTCACATTGTTCCGTTGGAAAAGCAATGACTTGATCAAATGTGTCCGGGCATTGTTAGTGCCCGGCTGACATAGACGACCAAGCACCTTCCATCCGCCATACTGAAAATGCGTAGCTAAGTCTCTCGTGGGCCAGGTAGTTGCACCCAGTAAGCTTGCTGTCCATTTCGTCATTTTGAAGAACTTGATATAAAAAGTCAATGTACCGTGATGCCAGTTTAAGAGTCTGGATTTTGCTTAGTTTGTCAGACGGCAGCGTTGGGATGATTTTGCGGAGAGAGGCGAAGGCTTCGTTCAAGGATTGTGTTCGTTGCCGTTCGCGAATGTTGGCAATGACTCTTTGGGTGTGGGAGTCTTCCAGGGACCCCAAACCTCCTGGACTGGGACCAGGGACAGGAGAGAGAGACGGGCCCGAGGAAGGTGAACGATGCTGGGGACTTCTCTTGATTCTTTTGGGGCCATTGGATGTGAAAATCTGAACAGTGTCTGGTCCTTGTTTTCCTTCGCTAGATACGTCCATGGCTGTCACATGATCCTGGTTTCCCGTGAGCCGCTTGCGCCCGTTGAGTCCTGGCGTTGCTACAACAACTGGGCAGGTGTTGGAAGGTTGTCTTGCTTTCATCTCAGCCCTGGAGACCACATGACTATCTGAGTGGTCATCGATGGCCCTGACCTCTTCTCGCATGCTTAATTTTCCGTGCCAATACCTGTCACTGTGAGCTTAGTATGTAGTTCTTCTCGTCCTCTTTGATTCTTGTTGAATTTGCCGTCTTGTAACGTTTGCCTTCTTCGTGGCGGTCCAAGTGTCAAGGATAAATCAAATGGGTATGTAACAAGAATTCTGGATCGCTGTGGCAGCTTTCCTTACCCACACGTGGAGCTGTTGAAGTTTTTTTCTTCAGCATCTGCACACCAGACCGCTCTCCAGCCCCATTCGTCCAGCTGCATGTGAGACAACAAACTAGAAACTGACTTTTTAAAAGGGAGGGGAACCACGGAACTTCCTCACTACCCGCCCATGTGCTGCCATGATTGGTTTGGAGAACTTCTGTCCACAGCTGAGCTTAAGTCAACAGGAAGAACGGATTGGAAGCCATTGGTCCCATCAAAGAAGAAAGGCGGAGACAAATGCGCGACAGAGGACCAACCAGATGCAAGCCCCTGTGACGTTTTTCGACAGAAACGTTGCCCAAGTTTATGGGTTCCAGATTTCTCCCCAAAACGAGTGGCTACCATCCCCCCGTTGACGCTGCCTTGTTTGCTGCCCGTCCCATGGCTCTTCCACCCACCACTATCAGATGTTTTAATGCATTTTAAACAAAACATTCAATTAAACATGATCAGTGAGCATCATTTCTTGGACATTAGAAAGGCGTATAAAGTCAGATATATTGCACGTAATCTCAGATTTTACTAGGCAACAAAAGGTGCGTGCCCTGTTTAATGGCTGCTGTCAGGAAGATGTCTTGAAGATTTTGGTGAAGCCTTGTGAAAATTAATTTTATCTGCTGTACATTGTCGCTCTGCTGCAAGTGGAGTTTATCTTACTATTTTATTATCAATTGCCTTCAGTTATAGATCTTGTTGGTGTGTGCATAACCTGAGTGCTCTTATTTCTCCTTTTATTCTGTTGTAAATTGCCTATGACATAGAATATCTTCACTGAGGGACAAATTAAGGTTTATCTCATCTTATTTTATCTTGACAAGTCCATAATTACGTCACCCTGGTTCGGTATGCAGACCTGAACAGATGTAAACATACTGCTGCTAATGTACAGATGCTAACATACTGCTGCTAATGTACAGATGCTAACATACTGCTGCTAATGTACAGATGCTAACATGCTGCTGCTAACATGTACAGATGCTAACATGTACAGATGCTAACATACTGCGGCTAATGTACAGATGCTAACATACTGCAGCTAATGTACAGATGCTAACATACTGCTGCTAATGTACAGATGCTAACATACTGCTGCTAATGTACAGATGCTAACATACTGCGGCTAATGTACAGATGCTAACATACTGCTGCTAATGTACAGATGCTAACATGCTGCGGCTAATGTACAGATGCTAACATACTGCGGCTAATGTACAGATGCTAACATACTGCTGCTAATGTACAGATGCTAACATACTGCTGCTAATGTACAGATGCTAACATGCTGCGGCTAATGTACAGATGCTAACATGCTGCGGCTAATGTACAGATGCTAACATACTGCGGCTAATGTACAGATGCTAACATACTGCGGCTAATGTACAGATGCTAACATATAACTACACTGTGCTTGCACTAGAATACACAATACTTTGTACTTGCCTCTTATTGGCAAGTGTAAAACTTTTACACTTCTTGTTTTACTATTATCAAGATATAGATTTTATACTTTTATTGATAGAGTTAGAGATTTTGTTTTATTTTAATTAGTAGAGCTATACATAGTTCCTACATGACGTCACTACATATGGGGATTTGCCGACCCGGCGCCATTTGTGTTGGCATTCTGTGGGCAAAACAATAGAAAAAGAAGCTGAAACGTGTTAATGTCGTGATAAAGTTGAAAATGGTCATCTCCTGCTGGGTCAATGGATGTTCAAATCGTGCCGGAGGTTCCGTTAAACTTGGATTTTACAGTATACCCATCATTAGACTTCATGAATGTGAGAAGACTAAGCTTTTGTCAGAACAACCACGGAGGTTATGGCTTGCGAAGATAAACAGGCAAGAAACTCCCTCAAAACACGCAAGAATATGCTCGGAGCACTTTGTGTCAGGTGCGTATCGTATCTTATAATGTGTTGACAAACGTAATTTACTCAGTACTAACTTGTGTATGCTGATAGCTGGTAACTTGAGAGTTTCATTATTTAGATTACTTTATTATGAGGAGGATCGGTGTCGCGTCCGAGGCTCTCGAGGGCAACGTAAATGTATTAAATAGATAATAATAGTTCTATGGTGGGCTAAAACAATGTTCACAAACAGCATTGCTTCTGTAAAAAGATCTGTGTCATAAAATAAACTGCTCTTTACGCCTGGAAAAATCAGTTGCCCACCATTCACCAAAACATACGGTGAAAAACGCTGAAATAAACAATAACAGCAATCCAGAGTGTCCGTGTGGCATTAGCATTAATTAAATTAATTGTTAATATAATTAAAATAATTAAATGGAGCTCCAACTGGTATTAAATCTAAAGTTTTTGAGAAATGTTTGCATTGCTTGTTAATTTTTGCTGCATAATTTGATCAAATATGTAAAACATGTCCGTAGCACGTTAAACTGTGGTGCCATTGTATTAATATACAATTATTTGCTCAAAAGTTGCCCTTTTTTTCCAATTTGCGTTTGAATATCTACATTTATTCTCATTCTTCTGTTTAATGGAATGCACAAACACAGCAGCGTGCCATCAAAGATGGCGTCTCCGAGGAGGTCATGTGACATTCATTGGTCTGTGGGAACTATGTATTGTTTACTTAACTTGTGCCGTGTGCTCCTCTTTCCTACTGTTCTGTAACTTGTGATGCAACACTGGAATTTCCCCACTGTGGGACGAATAAAGGATCTCTTAATCTTAATCTTAACACATGTGGATACTGATCTGTGCTCGTGCCTCTTTCTGTGTGTGACATTTGAAATCTACGACTAATAACCAGCATTAATAACATTTCCCTCGTCCAAACGCGGGAATGTGACGTTACCTCCCGCTTTTTAAACTGGGTATTTCTGTTTGCATCGTTTGTTGAATATGTAAAAAGGTTTTGAATTAAATATTTTGATTAGCTGATTGATGATCAGAACCCTGGCATAGGTATGTTATGCTCACATCTGTGTTACATTAATTCACTCAGAATCTGTCCATCTTTTCTCGGCTGCTCTAGACTGACCTTAAAACAAGTCCATGTCCTTTTCATGTAACATGGTCTGAGTGAAGCTGTGTGGGCCCCAGACACCTGCGCCTGATCATAACTATTTACATCTCACCAAACTCCTCAAACTCTTTTATTCCTGGCTAAAAATAAATACCCAGGAGCGACACGCGAATGCTGGAAAATGGATATCAGCTCTGGATATAAACACATAGAATGAGGCGGTGTGGAGGGAGGGGAGGGGCCTGCGTACAATGCTTTGTTTGATAGGTGAAGGCCCCCCGGGAGGCTGTGTGCGTCTGGAAACACGGCACCCTGTCTGTTTGAACTGCATGCTCAGATGAGGATGTAGCATAAATATTTCCAGCAAGAGAAACGAGAGAATGTTATCACATGTGGCGCTGGTGTACACACACACACACGCACACACACACACGCACACACACACACACACACACTTACTCGCTCACACTCTTTACCTTCAGAATCCTAATGTAGTCGGTCTAAGTTATGCTGTATACACTAAAAGGAGTTGAGCAGGTGGACTATAGAAATGCAACTTTTTGAAGATTTTAACAATTCTCACTGGTTAAAATATGAAAAAGATAAAACTGTGGTTAACCATGGAATTATAATGGAAAGTGAAAGCATGATTGTGGAAAGAACAAGCTAGTGCCGGGTTCTCTGTATCTGCTTGAAGCATGCTTGGAATTTCAATCTACCTCATTGGTGCTTCTCTTACACTTGGATTTAGGCACTTTTACCATCAAACTACATCTACACCATTTGATAGAGGCCTATAATGAAAAAAAAGGGGTTCAAAAAAACAAAAACACTATTTGGGTCATTAGTGCTCCTATACATCTGAGGGGAAAATTGTTTTTGCTTTCTTTAAGGGTTAAGGATGTTGAAAGTATTCAATTAACTGGACAAAAGTTATTATCCAGTTAATTGATGAACTAGAAATGGAAATGTAGTGAAATGGGTAAGAGAACTTACTACTGTCACTTTTGATCACTTGTATCCACAATTTTGTCCTTTCTGTATCTGCCCAAATCTTACACTTCATTCTTCCCTCACTCCTGAACAACTCTGTGATGGCAAGACACTTTTCTCTGATCAACAACCATGGCCTCAGATTTGGAGGTGGAGTGCAGATTTTTTATGATCAAAATCAGAATACAGTTATAAATGAGGCACACTTTATTGTCCCCATAGGTATGCTTGTCCTCTGCATTTAACCCATAATGCCTTTGTGAGGAGAAGAGTTGCTGCAGACCAGTGTCTGGGGACCCAGCTCCAGAGGTTGATCTCTGGTAGTCAGAGTTGGGACTAAAGTACATCACGTAGTGCACTCGTTCATACGGAGAGTGATGGATGGATCAAAACCGGAGAATTTTTGACTTGATCTACTTTCCGTATTTTGTGTCAAATATGGTGAAGTACAGTCACATGTGAACAGTTCTTGGGGCACTCCACCAACACATGACACACATAATCACAGAAAAGGCTCAGATCTCACACATCCTGCATTCTGCAGACTGCCACCATGAGGCGCATACAGGACCCTCCCACTCAGGACAAAGAGGGCTGTAGCTTCCTCAGTCTACATGTTTAACATCTGATTGTGTCGGCTTCAGGCCGGGGGGTTAGTATTGGATTTATATTTTATACCTGAATCTTTTAAATCACATTATATTATATACATATTTTAATGTTTTGTAAGCAAGATGGGTGTCTCTATTTGCACTGGAGCTCCGTCTGCAAACAAAGGTCCTTACATATAAATCTTTTGAGTTGATCATTTGAAAGAAACTGAAAAGCTCAACTCAGTGTATGTTGTCCAGCTGTGATTGCACTATATTGCCACCTTGTGGTGATCGAGAAACACTGCTCTATGCATAGCTTCACATTAAAGTGAATATTCACCATTTTAGTGCATTTCTGATGGGTCACAAACAAATTCAATTTAAACTCAATGTTCCCAATGCTTTTTGTGTATCCTCAGACACAATAATCAACTCCAAATTGTGTTTTTCTGATCAAAGTTTCAATGCTAATGTATTCTTGATTATCATTCGTATGGTAATTGAATTACTTGTCCTTATCCTTAAGATAAGTAAGGGGTTACACACTTTGGGTTGGTGACTGCTCCAGATCCACTCAGCCCTGTTTACTGTCAGCAGTGTTAAATGAAGGTTAAAAAGAATCCTGCAGCCCTCATCATCACTGTGTGCAAACAGTAATGCATCCAGTTACACACCACCAGGGCCTGGCATTCCCATAAAAGCTATAAACTTTATTCCAAAAGTTGGACAAATTATAAGAAATGTGTATATTAGAGAACAATCAACACATCACCTCCAAATGTAAAAAACTGTATCAATCAATCAAATTTTATTTATAAAGTGCCTTTCATACAAAAAAAATGCAACACAAAGTGCTTTACAGTTTAGTTAAAAACAATCCAATATGCCCAGCCCTAAACCCACCCCCCCACAGACACCCCCAAAAACCACATTTTGTATTATATATACACCCACATGCGTATACACACACACAGACACATATAAAGTCACATCAAGTACAATAGGTAAAACAATATAAAGACATGGGGCTGGGAGCAGATGTAACCGGCTGAAGAAGCGCCATCCAAGGAGCCATCTGCACCAGGAGCAGAGAGCCGGCTGCAGCCACAGGGAACGACACAGGACCCAGAGGAGAGAGGGGTCCCAGACCCCACCAGATCCAAGAGCCAGACCCCCGAAGCCACAGTAGACCCCAGCTCCCAGTGCAGAGGGCTCCTAAAACAATACAATTATACAATAGAAAGTAGAACAATAAAATGTGACACTAAAAAGAAAATGGCAGCTGCCTAATATTGATAATAACAATAGTAAATAGATACAATAAATAATTAAAAACCCAAAAATAGAATGTGTGTAATAACATAAATAAAGAATAAATACTAATAAAAAGCTAATCTAAAAAGGTGCATCTTGAGCCTACTTTTAAAAATATGAATGTTCTCTGCGGCCCTGAGCTCCTCCGGCAGACTGTTCCAGAGACGGGGGCCGTTGTGCTGGAAAGATGCCTCACCGTGAGTGTGTGTCCTGACTTTGGGGAAGGTTAGGAGTCTGCTGCCGGAGGAGCGCAGGGGCCCGGAAGGCTCATAGGATAAAAGCAGTTCTGAAAGATAATAAGACCCAAGACCATTAAGACATTTAAAAACCATTAAAAGAACCTTAAAATCAACCCTGAAACACACGGGGAGCCAATGCAGCAATTTTAAAACCGGTGTAATGTGGTCCCGCCCCCTGGTCTTAGTCAGGACACGTGCGGCCGAGTTTTGGAATAATTGTAAACCTGAAATGTTCTTTTTGGGAAGACCAGAGAGCAGGGCATTACAGTAGTCAATGCGACTGGTGATAAAAGCATCAGCGTCTCCGTGTTGCCCCGAGAGAGAATGGGGCGGACTCTGGCGATGTTCTTTAGATGATAAAAACCTATTTTTGTGATGTTCTTGATGTGAGGAATAAAAGTCAGCTCAGAGTCAAAGATTACGCCCAGGTTTTTCACTTGTGATGATGGATTAAAAGAATATGATTGGAGTTTCGGTAAAAGTTTCTCTCTCTGGGCCTCAGGACCGATGACTAAAACCTCAGCTTTGTCCTGGTTGAGCTGGAGAAAGTTTTCTGCCATCCAGGATTTCAGGTCTAAAATGCAGTTAAAAAGAGCATCCATTGGCCTGGTGTCGTCAGGAGACATGGAGATGTACAGCTGTGTATCATCTGCATAACTGTGGAAGTTAATTCCATGTCTCCTGATGACACCGCCAAGAGGGAGCATGTACAGGTTAAAAAGGACTGGACCTAAAATGGAACCCTGGGGCACACCACATGTGATTTTATGGACCTGAGAGGAGCAGGTATCCAAACTTACCATGAAGGATCTGTCTGTTAAATAAGAAGTGAACCATTTGTGGACAGCACCAGAGAGGCCGAGGTGTTTCAGGCGGGATAAAAGAATGGTGTGGTCTACTGTGTCGAAGGCAGCGCTAAGATCCAGTAGAACCAACACAGTCACCTTTTTAGAATCATAACTTAGTCGAAAATCATTTAAAATCTTTAAAAGAGCAGTCTCTGTGCTGTGGTTCACCCTAAAACCTGATTGAAATTTCTCTAACATTTGTTGCTGATCTAAAAAGGCCATGAGCTGGGTAAAAACAAGTTTTTCTAAAAATCTTGCTCAAAAATGGTAAGTTAAAAAGTTAAAAAACTGGTCTGTAGTTGTTAAAATCATTCAAATCTAAATTGCTCTTCTTCAGAAGCTCCTCTCTAAAAGATTCATAAAATGACTTAAAAAATGGAGTGGGGACTGGATCTAAAAGACATGTGGTGGGCCTCACTGAGGAGAAAACTTTATCAAGCATCTCAGCATCAACCAGGACAAAACTGTCCAGTGTTTCCTCTGGCGAAGATAAACAATCAGATCTGTTAAAAACAGTTGTGCGGTTGGATAAAATGTTACATCTGATTGTGTTTATCTTCCCCATGAAGTGGACTGCAAAATCCTCACAGAGGGAGTCTGTGGGGGTTAAAAGAGACATGCTAAAATCAGGGTTTAAAATGGTGTCGATGGTTGAAAAGAGGATTTTTTGATTATTTTTATTCTGGCTGATTAGTTTTGCAAAGTATTTGTTCCTGTTTTGTCTGATTGTGTTGTTGTAAATTTTCTGTTGGTTTTTATACATTTCGTGATTGTTGTTTTATTTTTCCTCCACCTTCGCTCTGCCACCCTGCACTCACTGTATTGTAAACACTGACCGCTCATGCCCTCAGGCCACAGTGAAGCCTTCACACCTGTTCAGCGACACCTTGTTTCGGTTTTTCTGTTTCCAGAAAACATTGGTTGTTGTCATAAAACTGAAGATTTGTCTCATCCAAGAAAGTATAATTCTGGGATTTCGAATTAAGTTTAGTGTATTTTGTGTGCACCATCAACAGTAGCCCTCATCGCAGCAGGGTTGACTTGTTAGCAAACAAAACCCAGCGTCCTGGAATGGAATGTTACTTTTCGTGTAATTTTTGACACTCCTTCCCAGCCAGCTATATATACCTAATGCACTACTGTCCTTGCTCAGTGTACGTTCTGTATCAAGGATTATCCACGATGTCTTTGTCAAAGCCAGAGGACCAGCTAGCGTTGGAGCTCAGCTGCCCCATTTGCCTCCAGCTGTTCTCTGACCCCGTGTGTCTCCCTTGTGGACACAACTACTGCCGCAGATGCATCTGTCAATCTGTTGATACGGACAAATCTCTCTGGGCTGCCACACGATGTCCTGAGTGCAGAGAAGTCTACCACGGCTCTGAGTGCCTGCAGAGGAATTTCAAGCTCAATTGCATCATAGATAGTTATCTGGCAACAAACCTGCAAACGGACGGGCCCCAAAGTATGACCGTGACTTTGCCGTGTGACCAGTGCATAGACGAACCCTCAGTGGCTGTGAAGACCTGTCTGAAGTGTGATGCGTCGCTGTGCGAGAGACATCTACAGAGGCACAATGAGAAAGAGCAGTTCAAATTGCACACACTGGTCGTTCCTGTGCAGAATGTGGGATCCAAAGACTGCCCCAGACACAGACTGCCCTTCGAGTACTTCTGCTCCACGGACATGTCTCCCCTCTGCTCCACCTGCATCGTTCAAGGTCATCACCAAAACCACGGCATTCTCACCTTCAGTGTGGCTGGGGAGGAGATGAGACGGGCTCTGCAGAGTCGCAATAAGGTATAAATCATCTGCCTTTATTGGAAAATATTATATTATTGAACTAAATATTGAGTGCGCACACAACATATAACTTTATTTTAGGATAGTTACCCATTTACATTGAAACTTAAATCTTTTCTCTATGCATACATTTCACTTCACTCAAGCATGTCATCAAAGGCTCTTGTAAGAAATCATTCAAAGGTTTCCCAGCCAAAGTCGTTGAACCAGTTTGTGATTATAATACATAGACAATGTTGGGAAACAACGTCATGACTAAAGGGCATTTTACAAGATTAAGAGATGCTTTATTCGTCCCGCAATGGAATAAATGTTAGTGTTGGAATGAGGAGCACACAACACAAGATAAGTGAACATTAAGTATAACACAACTCCAATCTCTAGCCTTCTAGTGCAGATAAATCAATATTATTCTCTCAAATCAAATATATTCAAATAAAATCAATACATTTTGCACCAAAATCACGACAGCAGCTGCCTCAGACCTCACATAATTGTTGTTTAGTAAATCCAACTATTGGAACAACAAGAAATACTGTACAATAATAGAACCCATGAGGCGGTCCAGAGAACAGTCAATGTAAATAACATTCATAAATGTTCCGTTCTTAGACCCACCTGCATCGGCAACGAAAAAGTCACGTGCCATTTTCATACCATTATCTGACGTACACTGTGCTCCTATCGCTAAATTCTGCACATTGTAGGTGGTTACCTGCAGGCTGCAATTGACGCAAGGACTGCTGCTGAAGACAAGAAAGGACCAGGAGACGTCTGAAGCCAATGGAGAAAAACTCATCAACAAGGCCATGACGACAATGGACAATATGGCTGCGCTGGTTGACAGGTAAGAAAACTGAGCAGAACTGAGATTTCTGATGTTTTGAAGAGAAAACATAATCATTTCTGTACAGTGGTGTGGAAAGGCACCCAGAGAACAAAGCCATATCACTGACAGTAGTCTAACCTGTATTTATGAGTTCAAAGATTAAGTGTTGCATAAAAAGTAAAAGAACAGTAGAAATGAGGAGCAGACATTGCAAGATAAGTGGACATTAATTGAAGGTTAGCGCAACTCTGTGCTTAAAAACTGAAATCTCTATATTTAGCTTAATAACCAAAGTATAAAAATGGCATAAACATATAAAGAATAAGCATGTGTACTCTAGTGAATATAAATATATACTTGTATGTGCATATTAAAGAGATGGGAATTGTTCTAGAGGCTAAAGGTCCTGTTCCAAATGAGTCTGGCTCATTTGGCCAGTGTCCCAACAGGCTCAGAAAGGTCAATTGCTTTCCCACCAGTTAAACTCTACGAAGGCGGACAGTGGCTGAGTGGTTAGCCTTCATGCTTCCCAGGCAAAAGGATGAGGGTTTGAGCCCGTGGCAGCCTGGGCCTTTTCTGAGAAGTGTTTACATGTTTATTGCCATAGTAGTCTGGATCAAGCCCAGCATCAACATCTGGATATAGAAGTGTTATCTGTAAAAAAAAAAATGTTTTACTGAAATATGGCTCTAGATACTGGCACCCGGTTACTGTTCTAAGTTACAGAATAAAGAACAAATTGACTCATAGAAAATGCAATAAATGAACATGTATAAATGTCTATATCGTCTCTAAGTTAACAAGTATGTTAGATAATATGTTGCATGACATACTCAGGTATCGGGAGCGTCTCGGTGTCCTTCTGGAAGAGGAGAAGTGCCAGCGCAAAAAGAGCTGGCAGGTGGCTCTGAGTGCCATGGAGGAGCAGCAGCAGCAGCTCATTGACTTTCAGAAGTGCAGCACTGAGGCCATGAGCGAGACGGACACATACATCTTCATCCAGAGGTACATGCCATATTCAGAATAACTCCAATTTTAAGTAATGTGACTTAATTAAAATGTCTACTATATTAAGTTACAAATGATCATGAGATTAATTATCATAAAGTAAGATTTGAGAATGAAAATAGTTAAACCAAGGGCGAGGGGGCTTATATGTCATTCAAGATTTTTTCTCATTTTATCCAATCAGGAAGAAGAGGGTTGGGAATGAGTGGTTCCAATTTGTTCCCTACAATTTGAAAACTGACACTTCACTTCATCGGTCTAATTTGTTACGTGTTTTGTGTCTTGTTCATCCCTTCAGCTTCATGCAGCTGGAACAGAAAGTAAGAGGCATTATTTCCACCTCCATTCCCTCCAATCTCCCTTCTATAACCCCTCTCAACACTCAGCAAGCTGGACTCAAAACCCAAGATTTCCGCTCTGAGATGACTCGCCTCCTGGACTCGCTCAACATTCTAAACCCTTTGGACCTGACTTTCAACCTGGTCACCGCCCATCCCAGCCTCATCGTGTCCAAGGACCTCCGCACGGTTAGATACAGCTCTACTAAGCAGCAGTATGGAGACCACCCTGAACGCTTCATCACAGCTCCCCAAATCTTGTGCCGGCAAAGTATGTCCAGTGGGGAGCACGTCTGGGTGGCGGAGGTGGGGGCCAGTAGCATGTGGTCTTTGGGGGTGTGTTACAAGACCATTCCCAGACGGGGTGACCATAGCAGGCTCGGGCACAACTCTGTGTCATGGAGGCTGCAGTGGAAGAATGGTAAGCTAACAGTGTGCCAGTCGTCCAGTAATGTTGCACTGGGGGAAATGATGAGTCACCCAGTAAGGATCGAGATAGCATTGGACTACGAGGGAGGGACTTTGGCGTTTCACAGCATCAAAGGGCGACGAGAGCACCTGCACACCTTCAGGGCGGTGTTCAGAGAGCCCCTTTACCCTGCTTTTAGTATTCATTCAAACACAGCCGAATCCTGGATAATGCTGTATAATGAAATGAGATGAATACGGGAGTTGGTGTATAGCAAAAGCTGTAATATTTGGTAATGAAGCTTCTTGGGAGTTCCCTTTTACAAAGCACTTAGAAACTTTAGAAATTACAATGTGTTTGACTTGTCTTCTATAATCTTGTAATCAAAAGTCGATATTCCACTATTCCTTTTTGAGTTGTTTTAGGAGTCAAGAAGACAAGAAGACAAACACCCATCAAAGCAGAGTGGAGACTGTAAGTGGTCAATTATTTGCAAATACTGTAAAGAGTGATATCGCTGAGGCAACAACACATAAACTCAAAAGACTCCAAAAGACTCCCTCCCATCGGCAACTCCCCTGACAGTTAACTGGGCTCAAGAAGTATATTTGTCGTCTGGTTAGTCTTTTGTCAAACTGTTCTCGGACACACCTTGTTTCATTTTGTTCATCAACTCCTCAGAATGTGCGGTTAACTATCTATTCATTTTAATGAACAATGAACTTACATTTATTACAATGCACTTACAGTGCATGATTGCCAGTTTGTCATCAACCAGGTCTCCAACGCATGCAGTAACAAACCACTTGATCTTTTTCCATTTTTAATAAACCAATAGTTTCTACGATCATCTTTTTTAATACAATTTTTTTATTTATAAAAACTGTTTTTATGTTGTATTGTCTGTCTTTTATTTGCTTGTGAAGCACTTTGGGTTACACTGTTTTAATTGTGCTTTATAAATACATTTGATTGACTTATTGATTGATTGATACCTTTTGTGTATTTTGTTCCTTTTGCCAAACAATTGCGAACTTCATTATATGTAAATATTCTCAAGTGTATTTTTTGACATTAACATGAAATAAACTGTATATTGTCACTAAATCCTGTAACAAATGAATTTTCCTTCCCTTCTTTCTTCCCCAGTAACAAAGTATATTAATCTTAATAACGACTATACGATTGCTAGGTCTAGACATGAGCAGGCAAAATCTGTCTTCCTTCTACTCTGAGGCCTCAACGCCTATTACTTAATAACTAAAATAGTAAATAAAGTAAAGTCCAACCTGATAGTAGTAGTGGAACTCACATGAGCTTCAGTATGCCAACAGGTGGTCTAGTAGTCTCAGAAAGAGTGTGTAGATAGAGAAGGTGGATGGAGCAGGTGGATGGAGGAGATGGATGGAACAGATGGGTAGAAGCTGTCTCCAGGACTAGAGGCAAGGCAAGGCAAGTTTATTTGTATAGCACAATTCATACACAAGGCAACTCAAAGTGCTGAACAAAACAAGAAAGCATTAAAATCATAAATAATCACAGAACATTAAAAAGGAAGATAAAAATATAAAATCCCTCAGTTGTATGCACAGCTAAACAGAACCGTTTTTAACCTGGTTTTAGACATTGTCAGAGAGGAGGCCTGTCTCACAGAGAAGGCACTGGTACAGGATCCTTCTTATGTAGGTTTTTGGGTTGAAGGCAACAATATATAACATCATGTGGTCAATACTTACCAGATAGCTGATCAGCCCCATAAAAAATATATATACATAATCAATTATCCCAATAAATAGGGATTTTTAATGGTGAATTTCACTTCCTGAACCAGTAGCAATATATATATATATATATATATATATATTAAAGAACATGAAAAGCTTGAGAAATACCAAGGTCTCAGAGAGGAGCTGGAGAGGGCCTGGAGGGTAAAGGTGACAGTAGTGCCCGTGGTGATGGTGCACTCGGGGCAGTGACCCCGAAGCTAGATGAGTGGTTACAGCGGATCCCCGGAACAACCTCGGACATCTCGGTCCAGAAATGTGCAGTGCTAGGAACAGCAGAGATACTGCGCAGAACCCTCAAGCTCCCAGGCCTCTGGTAGAGGACCCGAGCTTAGAGAGGGATAACCGCCCGCGGAGGGCCAAAGGTGAGTGGACAATTTTTTTTTTTTTTTATATATATATATTACAACCATAGACTGCTGAATTTTTACCATTCATCAGACTGTCCCTATTAGAACAAATAATACCTAAAACCTACCTTACAATCCATTTGATGATATCCATGCTTACTTACGACACTGCAGCCGGCCTGGCAACCACAAGGTTAGGAGGAGGATACTGTACAGGATCTGGCAACCCTGTTTCCATCTGTCACTAATGTCATTGGGCAGGGCAAAAGCAGTATTCTACCGGCAATATTCCATCATTTTTAACAATCTAGTGTAACTCACATTCATCAAACCCACTTTAAATCATGGGCTCTAGTGAGAGCAGGACACGGAAGGTGTCGTTTGGTGTTGACGACGAGGACAGAGTGAGAATTCTGCGTGGAGTCAAGGTAATGCTAATGTAGCATTGTTTTGATTAGCCTCAATGCTGTGTTTGAGTCTTTGATAAGGAGCAGTTCGTAAAGGGTCTCTGTCAGGTCTCTGTCAGGGCTCTGACTCCCATCTTCTTCCAGCTTCATGGCAGCAGCATCTATAGATGGAATGCAGTATGCAGTGTGTGAGGAGGGGCTAAAGGAGGCAGAGGCTGTGACATACAGCTCCATGTTCAGCATGTCCAGCCAAACTCTGTTTACATTTAACAGAATACACAGCAGGGACTGGAATAAGGACCCGAACCACACCTGAAAACCACCGCATGCAACACGTACATTTATTCTGTAGTTGGTATAGATTCGGCGTAAGGCTTCGTGTCATATTACTGAAGCTAAAGTAGTTTGCTAGTATTTTCCATAGCTAGCTTAGCTGTTAGCATTTCTACTCAGAGGCGTGAATACTTTTCCTGATGTTCCTAATGTTGGGATCCTGACCTATCGGTTTTATATACATGATATTTAGCTTTTTATATATATATATATATATATATAATGTACGTAGGGTGCTGGCACTTGAATGATACATTTTGTTTTGCTCCTTACCTCCATGCGTGGGTATGGTTTATGTCTGCGTTCTGTATTTGTAGAGATTCCAAATGTGGACCGTGAAACTTGCTCACTTGAAAAAAAAAAACGTTATAATTGCCATATGAAATGTTGTACATAACATTTGGTGTGGATCAAATTGCTATTGCTATTACTTATTTTGAGATGGTAATTGTGGACTGTGCCTCAAGAAATCCCCCCATCAGCTACACTTCCTGTTGTTATTATATAAGAGCGTCCTGTATTAAATGTATCTCACAGTAATTGTTTTCCTATTCTTCAGCTGTCAGAGGATGTTCTTCAGAGGATGAAAGGAGTAGCCAACATTGCTCCTGCAACAACTCAGAAAGAACCAGGTCTCATGCTGCACCAACAGTCTATGGCTGCACCACATTTCCGCTACACATTATAGAAAGTATACAAGTTTTTAAAACAGGAGTATATACAGTAAAAGGTGTTCTTTAATTGTTGGAGTGAATAGCAAAACTATTAATGCATATACAATCAAAAAACTAAAAACAAACATATCAATGCAAATGGTTAATCATTGTAAATATTTATCCATTATAAAATAACATGTCTCAATTACATACTTCAAAGTTTGATGGATAATTTTTATATTCAGATCATAACATTGAACTCCACAAACATGTCTTGACTTACTATTTTTGTTTGACCCATATTTATAACATGTTCTTATCTATCAATGTAGATTCTCAAACGAAGCCACAGCCGACTCCACCAGCCAGTCCCAAGTCCAACAAACAGGACGAGCAGCGGAAGTGAGTAAACAATTGCATGACACTTAAACACTTGAAAGAGGGACCATATCGTGAATTCAATGTTTTCTTGCTCATGCTTGAAACTCTTGCTTTAAAACTTTGAAATGTGGCACCATCTTGTGTATACCCAAGGCAACTACATGCAGTGTGAGGTTTTTCATGTGGCCATATCTTTCAGGTTTGAAGAACAGCAACAATTCTTGAAAGATGAACTGTCTAAAATAGCACAGAAAGAGGCGGTGATGAATGAGCTCACAAAAGCCCGAAGCCAAGAGAAACTGCAGACGAGAAGGGAAGCTGAGAAGGCCAAACTTCTGGTACGCACACACATACGCACACATGCCTGCGCACACATGCCTGCGCACACAAGCCTTATATTTGGCATCAAGCGAAGGCTTCAACCTGCCACTCATTTGTGTATTTGAAGATTTGCAACAGGTGCAGTTAATAAAAGTGGTGTCGCTGTGATTCAATTCAATGTTTGGTAATTGATATTGTAAAGTCTACATGTCTTTTTTTTAGATTTGACTCTTTATAAATCATCTTTTACTCGTACATCTCTCAAAATGGCAATAAAATAGTTGTAACTGCAGAAAATCCTAAGAACACTGTTGCATAGGGGTACCAGTATCTATGGTCTTCAAACTCCCTCTAGTGGTTAGATTTCAACATTACAAAAGACATACATGAACTTATGTTCAGTATGCATTGATTTGTTGTAGATTGAGTGACTGCGTATATTTATGCAGTATCTGTCTTAAGAGGAAATTATTTTTGGTATGTTCATCTTTTGATGTATTTCAAGTGTTTAGACTTCAAAATGTACTTTTCCCATACTTGGAACTTCGAATCGTTTTTGTCTTTTTGAATGTATGTTTTTTTAATTATCCTTTTGTGTTTTTTAGTAATATTTTTGTTTATTGTTTGCAGTCAGTCACAATGGTCATTCAGTCATTCTACACTTTCTAGTCATTTCTATTGCTAATGAGGGTTTTGAAGTACTCTATTTGGCATTTAACAATTACAGTTAATATTTAGTATTAGTTAGTTAGTAGTGATTAAATGTGGTTGGAACAAATTTATACAACTAAGCTACCAATGCTATGCCCACGGGCTATGGAGCCAGAGGCTACATGTATTTACAGACCTGGTTCCTAACACTGAACAGATAAATCAAGAGACGCTTCGACATTAAACTGAGCGTCCATTACAACAATTGTACGGAGTATATATGTTTAAAAGTAGGTTTGATTTTGATTCAACCAATGCTCTACTGTTTTTTTTTTTTTTCAGCTGGAATCAAATTTATGAACCCAGTAGTAATCAAGACAAGATTATTACAAGATTACACTTGATTTGTTGCAATTTGATTTAGGTCTGTCATTATAACACATGTTTAATGGATGACATACGGCTTCAGAATATTCTTGCTCTAAGTTGTCAATGCAAGTGAAATACAGCAGCATTACTCAACAACTTGTTTATTTCTATTTCACCATTGCATAAATCTGCTCAGTAATGTGGCTGAGTGGTTAGCACTCTCGCCTCTCAGCAATAAGGTCCTGGGTTCCAGCCTTTCTGAGTGGAGTTTGCATGTTCTTGCCGTGTCTGCTCCAGTTCTTCCTACCACTAAAAACATGTACAGAAGGCAAAAACCCTCCAGCTCTGGTAGGCATAACTCAGCCGAGCCTCAATATTTAGAGATGGGTCGCTGGCCTCTTTACTACGGCGACCACTGCTCTTGACAGAGACCCTTGTGTCAGTGAAGGAGGGATCAAATGCAGCAGACAAAATTTCCTATGAGGACAATAAAGTATTACTCTCTGGTCTTATTTGACTTGCACATATCACCAGAATGATTGACAATTGGGAGGACCAACAGTCTTGATTATCCACCCGGAAGTTGAAAATCTTCCTAAATACTTTTATCTAAGTCGAAGCAGTAATAACCATTAGGCTTTAAACCAACTCCACCACAGGTTAGTAGTGATGAAGCTTATTATGAGGTGGAAAAACTACTCAACCTTTAGTCCTGAACTTGTAGCACACCATTTGCCCTCTTGGCGGAGCTATTGCGTGAGTATTTCCTTATACTGCCTTTCAACTTTTGTTCCCCGCACTTTGGCCTGCATCGATTTTTGCCCATAAACAGCCACGAATGCGCATTAATTTGCCCGTCTCCCAGTTGTATCGGGTCAAGAGGTGATTTAGTTTCTTCTACCTAAATCACACGTCTGCGCGTCTGACACAGGCGTAAATTGGCTCTCGGGGATTGCATTTGTAATTTCTATGGTAATACTTTTAGCTTTTTTCTCCGCCTATCTTGCCCCTTTTTTTTCTTTTTTCTTTTTTACAATTTTCTTCACCTAGCTCTTCTCGCATTCTGTCTTCTCCCCCTTTCATTCCCAGCCCATCACTCTTTCCTTCCGTACCCTGGAGACAGCATTATCAGTGCAGTGCAAGCGGTAAATTGCAGCCCGAGAGTTTGCTGGAGTTGGAGATAGGAGCAGTGCAGGGGCTTGAGGTAATTGTTGGAAAGGGAGAGCTTGTTTTACACACCGTCCCCCCAACACAACACGTGATTCTCTTTTCAATTTTTTTTTATACTTCTACATCCGTCCGCCACCTCCCCATGTATGGAGATGCTGGCTTATCTCGGGCACGGCACACTCCCAGCTCTAAGAGCGAGCCGCTGGAGGGACGTCGTGAGCAGAATGACCAGTGGAGGAAGACTGGATCTACAAGTGCTGAGGGAGGGGAGGGGGGCTTGTAATTACTGCTGTGTGCGGACCAATACGTGTGCGCTCTAAATGGAACCGCTATAAGCTTGACAATGTCCACACACTACCAGACCACCATGCTCGTGTTGCCATTCTTAGGAAGAGATAAGAAAAGTTGGACTATAAGAAGAAGTTTGAAATTGTTTACATTACCAGTTATTTATAATTACATGTTTTAAACCTATTTGGTCGACTGGAAATGCAGGTTTTTTTTTATTTATATTTTGATGATCAATTTATCTGGTTTATTAATGTGGATTAACTGAAATAATAGTTTGAATCACAAAAGGTTGGTGAAATTTTTAGACATTTCACTAACTTTACACATTAGTGCATTTTAAACACATTTTCGTTTTATTCTGGGGTCAATGTGAACGTCAACGATTAATCTATCACTAAATTAACTATTTGACTAAATGATTAGTTGCAATTAATTGGTAACAGACCTATTTAACTTTTCAGAATTTCATCTTGTTTGTGTACTATTGCTAAGAAAATGTGGGGAATATAAAAACAAAAATCTAATGTGGGAGTTAAATCATCATCACTAGTTTCTGTAGCAAAGACCTAATAGCAATGACTACAACAGGTCAAATAAAGAAATCAAAGAAAATACGTTGTTAGTTTCACAATTCATGAAATATTTTGATATACAAAGATTTTTAAATATATTTTTTACCACAATAATGAAGCATTAATTATAATTTCTTTGCCAGTATTGTCCAAATCCATGTTTCCTCTGTAGTATTTGAGACTTGGATGAAGGTAGATGACTGTTGAGGCATGTTCTGGAAATCAAAAAGAATGCAGAATGATCATTACATGCAATCGATTTTTTTCTTAGTTTACTTTGTGTTTTGTACCCGAGAGCAGATCAAAGTAATGCGACATGTGGAAAAATAAATAATAAATATAGCGATCGTTCATGAAGTGGAGTAATAAGTGGTAACAGCTGATTTGCCCTGTGCCAGTTATTGAGAGTAGGATTATTTGAGGATGAAAAAGAAGCGACAGAGTTCTTTGAAGGGTAAAGACGAGCACTAAAGCTGAGGCGTGGATGAATAGGACTCAAAGCTTCCTGTAATTCAGATAAGATGAAGGGGGAAGTGACATTTCCTGGAATGTCACAAGAGAAGGAGGATGTGACGACGACTGCAATAGTTGGGATTAAATGACCATGATGCTGTTTGTGAAGGGAATTAGCTCAATTCAGACGATGCATTTGAACAGGCGCAAGAAACTGCTTCACTGCAAACATTTTCAATAGGTTTTGCTGCATGTGACATGAACTTCACCTTTCTCCCTTGAAAGATATTGTGAGTCTAATGTTTGGATTCTAGACTTTTTAGGGAGATGCTATAATTGAGCATTCACTGTGTTCGGCAAGAGTAATGTCTATTGAATCAGAACTTTTAGTACTCGAAATATCAAAATAATTCAAGTCACAGCGGTTGCCATTTTGTATACTAGAATTGGGAAAAAAAATTGTTTTGAAAGTATGATATTTGTCAAGCATTTTTAGGCTTGTTGTGGAATTTCTGCGCAAACCGAGAGCAAAAATAATGTAAACAACAAAGAGCTGTTTTATGTTCAGTGAGGTTTTTTTCCCCCTCATTATTCGTTAGAAATTTTACCTCTTAAATTTCATGTAAAAGAAGATTTGTTTATTTTGTTGGTAGTTATGACTTTCATTAGCAATTAGGACAATGAAAAGTTTCACGTTTTTGGAACATATCCATTTGTATTACTGGAGAAATGCACTGTTCTAATAGTCAAGTCAAATTTTGCACTCTAAAACAAAACATTCCATTTTACACATAAATTATGTATCTAAGCATTATCACTCTCCAAGTTGAAGGATGGGTGAAAGATAAAGGAAAAAATATAATATAACAAAAATCAGTTATATGCTTTGCCCAAGTCATGCATCACTAAATTGGGGTTTTCAAAACACAATCCCTAAGAAACCACAATATTGAAATAAAAGAACAACCAACCCCAAGTACGCTTATCCACATGTGCTGCTCTCCACACATTGCATTCAAAACACAATATAGATGATCTTTGCCTTCTTGTGGAGGTCCCCATTCATTGGTACTCTCTAGTCAGCGATGGGTTACGGAGGACAAAAGGCAGAGATTGAGGTGGCTTCCTGTCTTCCAGCATGGGCACAGCACAGTATTCACAATAACACGGCACAGCCTTCTCTATTCTTCTTTTGATCCCACCACCACCGCAAGATCTCAGCCCTCAGTCATCGAGAATCGGCTTTGTTAATGGCAAATCTTCCACAGATTAATTTCAAAATGAGCAGGGACTGTAAAGAATGGAATAATAGGAACTAGGGAGTTAAAAGGAATTTTCTCTTATTCTCATGTGTTAATGGCCTTTTGGAGCTGCCTGAAAGCAGAAAAAGGTTGTAAGTCACATTAGCATATGGTACATTTCTGGCTTTGTCTGAAATATTAAATGGCCTTTAACTTCCTGATGGCGTTAAATCTATTCATATTTTTGTCCTATGTCACTATAGGTTTAGT